TTTAGACTATGTTCAAAAGGCACATTTCTTCCAGACTTGCCTGAATGAAGGCACTGTGTTTGAAATGGATTCCCATAAGTGTTTACATTTATACCGGTGTGTTTGAGATCTGATGCAGCTAAAGGAAATACTTCCTTTTCAATTTTTTTAATAGAAGGGCCATACAAGATGAGAGGAGCCACCATCGCCAGTGGTGACTGAGTAGTTTTGTGATGGAAGAAGCAACTGACTCTCCCAGGTACAAGGAATAGTATTTCCAAGTGTTTCACAGAATAAACACCGTGCAGGATTTTACCAGAGCCTTAAAACCTGCAGTACGTGGTGGACAGTCTGTACCATGAAGATACGTGGGGTACCTCTCATTCCTTCTGGTCTTCTGAGAACACAGCCAAGGGACGAAGCCTCGGGAAATGCAGTTGTCCTTTAAGCTCAAAGGGGAAAAAGGATGATGATGAGGTTGGAGCTGCACATGTGGGCTCTGTTTGTCATCATTGTGCCAAAAAGCTGTGCGGCAAACTTTTGCATTTCCAGAGAAATCGGGAGTTGTGTAACGCATATGACACGAGGATGTAGGTAGTGTGTACGTGAGGCTGTAAGGGTCCTCCAGTGGTGGGAACGGCCATATCCCACCATGCTGTCCCACACGTTGCAGAGAGAGTTGGCGGGTTCAGCCTGGAGAAGAGAAGGCTCCAGGGAGACCTCAGAGCCCCTTCCAGTCCCTCAAGGAGCTCCAGGAAAGCTGGGGAGGGACTCTGGATGAGGGAGGGGAGCCCTAGGAGGAGGGGGAAGGGTTTGACCCTGCAAGAGGGGAGATGGAGCTGAGCTGTGGGGAAGAACTTGTTTGGTGTGAGGGTGGTGAGAGCCTGGCCCAGGTTGCCCCAAAAAGCTGTGGCTGCCCCATCCCTGGAGGGCTTCAAGGCCAGGCTGGAGGCGCCAGGGCAGGGGGTGGCACTGGGGGGGCTTGAAGGCCCCTTCCAACCCAAACCATTCCATGATTCTATGACTTTATGATCCCCTCTTCTTGCTCCTGCACCTCAAGATGTGGGTCAGCGTCTCCTGAGTGGGGTGCTCTTTTTTTGTATGTGCTCTTCTCCTCTAGCGGCCAAAACAGAAGGAAAAGGGAGAAATAAAAAGAGCTGGGAAACAAAGGGGTTAATGCTGTGAAGTCTGTGGGTGCAAACAGGGTTCTGTTAAAAATGAAATGAAATTGGGTGGAGGTAGATAAAAAGAAATCTGAAATAATTGTTCTGTAGAATATGGTCTTTCCACATAGGCAGAAATCTTTCTCTTCACTTCTGTCTGAAGAGAGAGTCAAATAGAGAATCTCATCTCTTAATTAGAAAGAAAAATACTCATCAAACACATCTCATCACTGGAAAGCTAATGATCCACAGCTGCTAGTCTGAAAGGGCAGGCTTTTTTTCTGAACAGTAGGAAGTGTTAATCATTTTGGATGAGATTTCTTTTTAAAATATACTGTAGTTTGCAAAAGAATAGGATATTCAATATTCTAACTTAAATTATTTTTTGAAGTGTTGTACACCAGGGATAGTGTCATGTGTCTCCCTGAATGATCATTTAATGCCTGTGTCTCTCACTAAGAGCATCAACTGATGTGATGTTGTAAATGGCCAGTTCATGCCTGTGACTCTGAAAATCTTGATCTCACGGGGGAGAAGAAAAAAAGTCCTCCCTTATAGTCTTCTGTGTAGGAAATGGCAGCTATATTAAACTGTAACCTTTGAGACTCCCACTCCTCCCTTAAAATAGTTGGCTTGTTTCAGTAGTGATGAGGATCCTTTTTTTAGACGGAGTTAGAGCCATTATTTCTGTGGAAGAGATCATACCAGATACAGTCCATGTTCCTCCGGATGCTTCACAGGCATGGCCAAGTCCCAGAACTGCCCTTTTACACTTGTTCCTTAGCTTTTCTGGATTTTTTTTTTCCCCTGTACTTGTTTGGTGGTTGGATGTGTAGTTTTCCTCCCCTTCATGTATGGATTTTTCTCCACATCACTTCCCTTATTCCCTCTCCTTCAACCATCAGACCCCTTTTGGTGAAGACCTGACCCCTGCGTTTTCTTGCAGTTCTGCAGCAGGTTTTAGGGTTGCTCGTGCTGACTTAAAAAGTTCTGTCTGATCCTGGGAATCTGCATTTTGTGGGTGTGTTTGTGAGTTTGGGGAGGACAGAGAGGCCATTTCACTGAGGTCCATTGCCGTGCTGGTCTTGCACAGCCCACATCTCATTTCTGTTGCAAAAGGCAGAGTCCCCCTTTCCCTGGAGCCTGCCCAAAAGGAGGAATTGGTTAAAATTCAGCCGGGACAGATGGATAGGAAGCTGGCAGGTCAGTGAAATCATCTGCAGGAGGTCACCGGTGTAGTGTCCTCATTTTGGAAAGGTGGGTCCATACAAGTTTTGAAGAAGTAATATCTTAATATACTATTTTAACGGCCTACAGCGTAAAGAATTAATACTCATAAGGATCATTTGACATGCAGAAACTTAAGTGAGGAGAGTTTGGTTGATGGTTGGACTAGATGGTCTTAAAGGTCCCTTCCAACCTGGAAGATTCTATGATTCTGTGATTCTATGCTTTGGAGTACAGGGTTCCCCAGGGAAGTTGTGGCTGCCCCATCACTGGAGGGGTTCAAGGCCAGGCTGGAGGGGGCTTGGAGCAACCTGGTCTGGTGGGAGGTGTCCCTGCCTAGGGCAGGAGGTTGGAACTTGATGATCTTTAAGGTCCCTTCCAACCCAAACCATTCCATGTTTCTATGATGCCCATGTTTCCCAGTCTCTGGTCAGGTCTGTATGTCCTGAGACTGTCTAGGTTGATGCCTTCTTTTCTCTGGAGCCTGGAATTGCTTGGATATTACTTCATTTTCTTTCTGCCTTTCTAGCCAAAGCTCAGGTGGGGCCATCAGAAAGCCTGCGTGCATTGCCATTCCTCAACGGGTAGTCTCCAGTGTTTGCTTTTCCAACACTTGGATGCTGTTTGGTGACTTCCAGAGCTCCCTTCAGCATGCATCCATTGACCCAGGGCGTTTCTGGGATTTAAGGGTGCAAGGATTTTTTTGCTTTTCTTTTGAGATGAGAATTCTGTTGTAAATTGGCTGTGTCAGATGTACTGCATCGAATCCCCATAGGTCTCACTCTCAGAAGGGTCGTTCACAAACTCACAGAAGAACGCTCAAATTCCTTGAGATGTTTTTGCTTCTTACTCATTACCATTTCTAACAGATTTCCTTTTAAACTAAGCAACGTGAAAAAGGCAGTTTTCTTTCAAATGAAATATTAACTGTTAGAAGTGCCAGTATCCTCTCATGTATGTCACACACACAGCTTTTTCAGGTCTTTCAGTGTTTATCGTGTTTGTCTTGCAGTCTCACGTGGCCCCCATGTACATAGTATTCAGGGGCAGAAAGTAGGGGGTGAGGTAAGTTCGCTGATCTTAAGAGAGAAGATTACTTAAAATACAGATATTTTTTTGTTTTATGTGAGAGCTTGTATTTGATAAGAGCATTTTTTTATCACTCTAAACAAAAATCTAGCAGAAGACTATTAAAATCCTCAATATATACATCTTGGTGACTGATTTGGGAAAATTAGCCCCTTTTTAGTTTACCTGGGTATTGGCATTACTTTAGGTCTGCTAGTTCTGTGGCACACCACCTTAATTTGTTTTAGTAGGTATTAAAAATGCAAATATTCAAAAGCTTCACTCTGTAGCTGAAAGAGGCTTAGGAAGATTTCTGTGTGTATATCCAGCTATGGTGGGTACGTAGTATGGTTTGCTGTCATACTTTCATGTTTGGTTTTTGTTGTATCAGAAGAAAACAAACCCCAAGTCAATTTTGGCCCCAGTGCTGGTGGTGGGGATGGATTCCTCCCAGGGTGTGGTGCCCGTGTGGCCCCAGCGCTGGAGAGGACCCCCAGGTACCAAGGTGCATGTCTCTGGGGGACATAACCTGGCCACGCTCCTGCCGAACTCCAGCCTTAGAACACTCGAGGTGTTTTGAGGAGACACTTCCACAAATAAACATTTTCAAAGATGTGGCTTCTCAGCAAGACCGAGAGGGGATCTCATCGATGCTGAGCAATATCTAAAGGGTGGATGTCAAGAGGATGGGGCCAGACTCTTCTCAGTGGTGACCGGACACAGGACAAGGGGCACCAGGCACAAACTTAACATAAGGAGATCCACCTAAACATGAGGAGGAACTTCATTCCTGTGAGGGTGGCAGAGCCCTGGAAGAGGCTGCCCAGAGAGGTGGTGGAGTCTCCTTCTCTGGAGACATTCAAACCCACCTGGACACGTTCCTGTGGGACCTGCTCTGGGTGGCCCTGCTCTGGCAGGGGGTTGGACTGGAAGGTCTCCAAAGGTCCCTGCCAACCCCTGCCAGGCTGGAATTCTGTGATTCTGTGATCCCTTTTAATCTGATTTTTGATCGGTCTGTGGTCAGTACAGTTTTACTGTGCTTTCATTAGAATAGTTGTATGATTTTACCTCGTAGTGTGATTTTTGTTAGTTTTCTATGCAAAAGATTTTTTCAGGTTTGGTTCAGATGTTTACATCTTCTGCTTGTTTGTGTGACGTTACTACAAAATGACCAAGTTCTTTGTTCTAAAGAGCAAATTAATTTTTATCTATGGAAATAACTAAACTTTTCTTTCTTAAATTGTCATCTTATTTTTATGCTATTTGGCATTATTTTGCCCACATAAGCATTATTTTATGAGAGAACAATTAACATTCCATCTTAAACTACACTACCTCAGTTTTCCTTTTGCAAAAATTAAGGCACATATCAGTAGAAAGTGCAGTAGTTGCTCCGTGCAGGCAGTTGGCTGGTCAGCAAAGTGGTTAAGCAACTTTCCTGCCTGAGGAAAGGTGGGTTTCTTTAGAATTGTTTTAATTTGTTGGTCTTAACCATGCACAAGAGTTTAATGTAATGCAGATTTGAATCAATTTTTATTTTTTTTTCCCTTCTCTGTCTTCCAGCTTTTTCTTTTTGTGGTCTGGAACTTTGAGCTCTACATGATACCACTGGCTTTGTTGTTGCTGCTGGCATGGAACTACTTCTTGATCATATCAGGGAAAGATAACAGGCAACACGATACGGTAAGTCTTCTCTACTTCAAGCGTGTGCATGGCCTTTTCTTTTTTTAACTAGATACAATTTTGTAACTGAGTTTAAATACGACATCTTTTTGAAAATGTCTCGGTTGACAATGCTCGATGGACAGTTTTCCTACCTGCAATTTAATTTTTCCTCCAGCCGTCCAGTAAACGTGTCTGGTTTTGTTCAAAATGTTGTGTAAAAATACAGTAGAACATGCAGTGTTCTCAGGATCGGGTTTGTGTGGGAGCAGACATGAGAGGTTTAACGCTCAGGAGAAGGCAAATTCTTCGAAAATTGTTTTGCGTGTCTAAGTCCTTATGTTGCTTTTTTATTTCACATATTGAACTTAAAGATTAAAATTATTCCGATTTGTTAACAGTTTCAGAATGTCTCGCATTTTATTGTATTTCAGAGTTTATCATTAATATGTTGCCATTCATTGAGCTTAATATAAGCCTTTTCTTATTTTCTTCTCCCTATCTAATGCCATTATCTAATTAAATGCATGTACTTGGGATATAAAGTAGCAAACATTTACTGATAACTGACGTTTATTAATAAAAGCATGATTGAGCTTCTCAGAAGTATGTATCAAAACTGGAAGTTGTATTTGTATTTGCTGTGCAAATTTTCTAGTACCCAGGAAGCTTAAGGATTTTTGCATGTATTCTGTTGCTGAGCCTTATGAATTTGGCATTTGTATCAGTACTGATATCCCAAGAGCAGCGTGCAGTCTAGGACGTTATGATCCGGATGGATAACCAGAAGGGTGGGGAAAAAAAACCAAAATGAGTTAAATAATTGGTCTCAGAGGATGGTGGTTAATGGAGGTTGGAAAGACACGTAGCACCAGTGTGCATAAGGACCTGTCCTGGTTAACATCTCCATCAGTGACCTGGAGGAGGTGACTGAGTGCTCTCCCATTGAGTTTTTGGGTGACACTAAGTGCACAGGACTAGTTGATACCCTAGATCTGCCGGTCAAAGAGACCTAGGTAGGCTGTGGAAATGAGCCAGCTCAGGAAGGAAAAATGTAAAGTCATGCTCTTGGGGAGGAATAACTGATTGTCTGGGAAGCAGCTGCCTGGGCGTCTTGGAAGACAACAAGGTAAACATGAGCCATCAGGAAAGAGGGTCTCCAGCACCTTGGGCTGCATTAAGAGGAGCACAGGATGGAGGGAAGCAATTATCCCCCCTGCCCAGCACTTGTTAGACTTGCATCTGGAATAGTGTCCAGTTTTGGGAATCCCTGTTCAGGAAAGATATTGATTAACTTGAGTGAGTTGAATGGGGGGCTACCAAGATGGTAAGGTGGGGCTTGAGCACTTGTGCTGTCAGGAGACGCTGAGGGAAGTGGGCTTGAAAGAGCCTGGAGAAGAGAAGGCTTGGGGTGACCCGAAGAGCAGCCCTCCACGACCTCCAGGGAGGTGATTGAGAAGTTGGAGCTAAACTCTTCACAGTGATGTGACCTCATGGCTGCCCTGCTCTGGGCAGAAGGATGGAGGCCCCTTCCAGCCTGAGTGATCCCATGACCCTAACAGCTAGCAACGACAACTATTAGTGACCAGAGGAACCGATACAGCTCTGATCCTGGCACTGGTATTACCTGCCTGCATCATTAAAACTGTTGTGCTTCCAAGGGTCATCTGAAATTAAGGGTGGGGGTGATAGAGGTACTCCCTAATCCCAAAGGTTGTTACATTTGGGGATAAACCCTGAGATCAAGACTTTAAAGATGCATAACTTAAACCACAGCCCTTAGTCTCCAGGTGCCTGAGAAGCTTAAAGCTTCTCTGCCTGAAGATTTTATGAGTAACTGAAGTCCCTCATGAAGGGAGAGGTTTCTCTCGTGAGCTGCAGTACACTTCATTTCTCTCTGAAATACCACCTGCCTGTGAAGATTAATTGGGCCATGTGACTTTTCTAACAAAATGCTGAGGCTATTGATGGGCGCTCTGTTGAGGACACCAAATGCTGCTCTAAAAATGTTCCTCTTGCTGAGGTTGCTTCAGACCAAGCTGTACAGCTTATGTCAACCAATCGTGTTTGTCCCGAGTACTTGATATCTGTGCCGTTAATTAGTATTTTTTTTTTGGTTTATCACAAGTAAGTTGGGACCTCATTTTTAATGAATTGAGCATGGTTATCATCCTGGTGAGCATCTGTCTTCCATGAATTGATCTGCAGACTTACTGGATGCCTTTCTAATTAAGTCACAAATCTTCAGTAGTATCACAAGTCCTTAGCTCAGGTCATTAGCACAGTATCATTAGATTAGGAGTCATTTAAATATTTCTGTTTTCCTATGCAGAGTGTAAATATTAACTAAATTAATTAAGCAGCGTTTCCTAGTGGCTAGAGAGTGCTTCAGGATTTGCATGATCTGGCTTCTGTTCCCAGGTCTCCAGAGATTTCTTGTGTGTGCCTTGGTGAAGTCATTGACTACTCAACTTAGAAATATCAACCGTGTTTAGAAGTTACTCTGGAATCCTCAAGCTAATGATAAGACAAAAAGAAAAAGATATTTGTTAACTTTTCTCACTCAACTAACACTAGACAAACGTGGTTAAAAATTGTGTGCTCTTTATACTTGTTTCATGTCTATGGAAAATACTTAATTTGGGACCTTCAAAAGTAGCTCAGAAGAGTTAGTTTCCATGTAATATTCCTACAAGAAAACAATTATTGATTGTCTCATCAGTTCAGGTGTTAGGGACTGCACTCTTCTGCAGGTCGATCAAATGGTCATCCCTGAGTTTCTGCCAGGGAATGGCAGATGGACCAGCTTAACTCATCCTTGTTGGCTGCCTTGTAGACGAGGAGTCATTCGCTGTGTCCTCTTGGCCATCGGTTTCTTTGAAGTAGTTTGGAACCTGTTGGAACCTATGAGCCTGAGCCGCTCGTTTTGGGGGTATGTGTGGTTATTTTGCCATTTACTCTGACTCCTAAGTTATTTGTGCAAGTCCTTTCTTGAACTGGAAGCGCAACAAGGCTGGGGCAAGGGGGAGCCCCACGGGTATTTACTGACAGGAGATAAGTCTACTGGAAAATCTCACAGAGAGGTGAAGTGGCATATTAGGCACCATTGCTTTCTTGGATTCAACTGGGCTCTCAAAGGATTGATCATTATTGTGCTTTTAGTCAAACGCCGGTACATTCTTCAAAGAAAAGCATTGGATTCCCTGTTTTTCTCTATATTAGATTAGATTAGTTGTTTTTCTGAAAGATATGCTTTCATCAAATACAAGCTCTTGTGTTAAATGTTGGTGTAAGCAGATGTAGACTTATGTAGATTCAGTGAATGGATCTCTAAATCAATCTGTGAGAATTCAGACTGATCTAAAATGAATTCGCTTCTGGCATTAAGTCATGTGGCAGGTATACAAAAACCACAGAAAAAATATCTCCTTCCAGTATTAAGCAAGGAAAAAAAAAGTCACTAAAACAGTGACACATTCTTAGTGTTTTCCCCTGAATTTTGCAGTAACATTTTTGCCTGGAGCTTACCTAGCTGCTTTCTCCAAGGATCCTTGCACTCCCTTATAATCGTCCTTCTAAATACCTGACCTCACGGAATAATTTATTTTCAGCACAGCTGCTGTTCTCGTCTGAAACCCTCACTGCCTCAACACACGAGACTAGAACCGACTGGGTCTTACTGCTTTTTACTTTTTTCCCCTGCCTTTTGTTTTTTTCCAGTGTCTTTCTCACATCCCTGGGGGAAGGGAAGGAAAGGTGTCACCCTCTGCCACCCCTCTGTGCCCCCTGCGCGGGATGGGTGAGGCAGAGGGTGGTGGGGACGTGGGGCTGGGGATGCTCGGGGAGAACAAGGGCAGAGGGAGAGCAAAGGACTCGGTCATTTCCGAGCAGCCTTGGCCCTCCAGGAGCACCAAATCACACCTCACAATAGGTGGCTGAAGAGGAAAGTTCATCCCACGCAGCTGTAATTGAAAGACTTCCAGATATATCCAAACTAAGAGAAAGTACGCTGGGGTTTAAAGCTTCTTTTCAGCCTTTTTTAAGAAACTACTTAATATTTTGATGTTTTCAAATGTGTTGTACAAAAAAACCCTTCACCTTTATAGCTTGGAGAAAACAGCAGCACTGCTGTCTGGGGTCTTTTTTTCACTTCCATTTCTAAGCAAAAGTCAAAGTTATTAGAACTGCATGAAGTTAGTGGGGAAAAAAAAATCTTTTATTTTTTTTTTCCTGCTTTTCTACTTCAGGCTGTGTTCTGACTGCCTGCTGGAGCTGCCTAACTTAAGGAATGGTCAGATAATCTCTCAATGTGATTAAAAATGTTCCCACTCTCCAGCTGCTCTTGTCCCCTTCCCTGAGATGAAACAGTTGATTGTGTGGTTGGAACGTGTCCTGTTGTGAGAGAAACCTGGTTTGCATAGTTATCCACTTATTTTTTCCCCCATGTATGTAATCCTGACAACCACGATGTGGACAAACTGTGACAATCTCTCTGCTGTTGGACCATAACATTTAACTGCTGTAACAGGCACATTGGATCTCCTCAGGTGACACTGCAGGTTCTTCTTCCTTTACTAAATAGGTAGCAGATAGGGACTCCAGGTTGTCTTCTCCTCGAGGAGGAAGGGCTGGAAGAGGAGTGGACGGATCTGGTGGATCAACAACCAGTTGCACAGTAGAAGTTAAGAGGCCCACATGCGGCTAGATGCCTGCGTGATCATGATGTGGTGGGATTGCTCTCATGACCGTCATGCAATGGATGTGCACTGGGAAGATGATAGATGGATGGGAGCATCTAGTATACAAAGAGAGGCTGAGCAAGCTGGGACCACTCTACATAGAGAAGATGAGGCTCACAAGGGATCATGGAGTCATGGAATTGTCAGAGTTGGAAGGGACCTCTAGAGATCCTCTAGTCCAACTCCCCTGCCAAAGCAGGGTTGCCCAAAGCACATCACTCAGGACAGCATCCAGGGGGAACTTGAAGATCTCCAGAGAAGGGGACTCCACATCTTGGAGTC